TTCCTCAACAGTGTGAAAAAGCTAACAAAAGCCAAATCAACCCTTTAAAGGGCACATTATATATTTTGCACTTGTGTAGAGTGAGGAGACACCTGCAGGTTGTCGCCCATGCTTCAAGTCAACAAATAACAACCGAGTATGAGTCTTTTCCAAGGTCAATCCCTCTTTGCTTCTACAAACAGAAATTAGTACAAAGGCATTACAGTCTTTAAGGGAAATAAATAGATATTCAGTATGAAAGGATAAAAGGTATTAGAAAATGAGTAAATATGAGATATTATGATATACATTTGTTCCAACAGTCATACATAGCACACTATTTTGTGATCCCGCATTATAAAAGATATTAACAATAATTTTATTAAATTTAAAACTGTTTGGTAAGATGAAGGTTATTCAGGAGACTTAAGTTAGTGACAGGGAGCATGCCTATAAAAGGTCTTTTACTGTTTTGAGTAATGGTATTTGTCTGCTTTGCAGCACCTTCCAGATGCGAGTAAAAAGATTACTTTGTTTATGGACGGCAACATCCTTTAGGGTAGCTTGGCTGACCTGAAGTTTCCTAAACTTGATTCTCTCAACAGTTTTGACACTCACATTTCTGTTTTTTTTCCCTTTTTTTTTGCAGTTTGTGCACCAGGGTGTTATGCATAAAAACAAAGTTATGGAAAGTGACACTATGTCAAATGCCTGTGGTTTGAACAGTAACACCAAGTTTATTTAAGCTGAGATCAGAAAACAGAGTTAAAAAATGAATTATTCTTTTATCTGGTTTTATGGAGATTTGAAATGCTGATTAAGATAAACTCAAATGAAGTATTTTCTGATTTTATCAAGTTTGATCTCATTTGAATTGAATGATGACAAAGCTGACCACAAGTTCGACTTGGTTTAAGCATGACATGGTGTGTAGCATTTCCTTTTTTGTTTTAGTTTTTAAACATGATAGAAAAAAATAAGTCATAGTTCAGCTTTTCAGAATAAAGCTTATCTTTCACTATCCATCAATTTTCCGTCATGTTTATTTCAAATGGAGTTGTGAGGGGTGCTGGCATCTATCTCCAGCTGAGAGGCTGGGTACACCCTTGACATGTCGCTAGTCCATCGCAGGGTGACACAAAGTCAAACAGGACAAAACAACCTTTCACACAAACTCACACCTAAGGGGAATTCAGAGAAGCCAATTACAGTCATGTTTTTGGACTGTACCTGGAAAGTACCTGGAGAGAGCCAATGTTTCAATGTATAAACAAAAAACAACCATTTTTCATCTTCTTGCTGGAGCGTTTTATTTTCTACAGAATAAAGCAGCGGTTAAAGCAGACTTCCACAACAAATTCAGGTTATTTAATTAGGAAGAAGTCCAAAGAATTAATGGTAAATCAGTAAGTGTTGCAAGTCTTTTGTTTTCATAAGTTGTTTAACAGCGATAGAGTAAAGGATAGAATTAAAGACTGTTCAGTAGCCTTTCCTGGCACAGACAGATGGTTTAGGGAAGAAGCACTCAAAGTCATCCCAGCACTTCCGATCTGCATTAAAAAAAAGGAGAATTGTAACTTTTATTCAAAAGGATTAAGTTGATGATACAACCCTTTAACTAAATAATATTAAATGTCATAAACAACAACATACTTATGGACGCAAATCCAAATAACACATTTTAATCAAGTTAAACATAATCTTACATCCATAGTTGATTTGAAGGCAACGCTGCACTCCATGTGTGTTATTAGGCTCTCCAGAACACCAGTTGGTAAAGAGGAAATGAGTACCGTCACTCCAAAACCACTGATTCGCCTGTAAAATCAAAAAGAATTTTATAGGAGGGTGAGTAAAATATAGAAGAATAAACTGTTGTGTTAAATAAAATACCTCTTGTGCATCAGTGCCTCCAATCCAGGTCTCTTTATACTCATGGCTAGAAGTCATGATCAGCCTCTGGATCTCATGGTACTCCTCAATGTCATGAACCGATGCCAGGTTTCCCCTCATGGACACACAATTTCTCTACACATGGCATTTAAAAAAGAAGTGACATATTTCTGTAACATCTACTTAGAAAAAGTGAATAATCTGCTGAATTAAAGGTATTTTGTAACCTCAGCTTTGGCCCAACTCATGGGCCTTGGAATGTAGCGGAAGCAGCGGCCGTTGAGCGGAGTCCAACCACGAGAACACCGGGCAGACCTTTTCACCAGATCACTCTTTGCTGAGAACCAGCAGTTACCGTAATATGAGGACTTCTGTTAGATTCTTAATTAAGTTATTTACAAATTATTTGCATATTAAGGAAAGGCTGAAATATGCCTTTTCCAAGTACATATCATACATACAAACTTTCAAGAAAGCATACCGGTAAATTAATATTATTTCCGAGCATGTTTAATGTATCAAGATGAAGAAAATGAGCAATAATAATTATGTTAATACGCTGACCTGTTTTATAATCATCCAGTTGTGCTTCTGGAAGAAACGTATAGTTTAAACAGTAATTGGAAAAAGTGCTGCTGTTAATTACAATAATTTTCATAATCTTTCTAAATTAATGAATACAATTTCAATTCATTGATAATTTGCCATATTTTATGAGAATGCCAAGTTAAAATGTGGCTCTTGTAAACAAATATGTAATTTAATTTAATTAGCAATGGTCATTAAAAATATAAATTTCGTACAAAACTCACCGAGGGCATTAGTCAGCGCAATCATAGCAAACATAAATGCTGAAAAATACAAGATCTTCATCCTGCAGGTTTTAGATGATGATAGCTTGAAAAAAGAACTTGTTATGGGGAAGGGAGGAAAGTCAGAATGTATGTTAGAAGTAAGTTCTGTTCTTCCTCTTTATATTAGTTCTGATGTCTCAGCTTACTACTTATGAAAAATTACTAAGAAGGTGTGACTGTCAAACAAAAAATGTTTTCAATCTGTTTATATATGTTGATATAAGAGGTTTTATTTTTGTTTTTTATTTTTTATTTATTTATTTATTTATTTATNAGTTGCAATTGGTTGAGTTTCTTTTTCTTTGCAGTTTATTGAAAGGACAAAGATGGGGTTGTTTCTTTGACCCTTGAGTGGAATCACTATTTCAGAGACTTCCTCCTTTAAAGTGAAACCTTCAGCATAAATAGGAACAGGTCGAGCTGAAACTGCAGATCTGAGAAATTCCAAAGCTAAAAATAATTAGACGACGTGAGGAAAACGTTGGAAAACGCCCACAGAGGTATAAAACAGGCACTGCTTCCTCAAACTGAGAACAGATGTGAACTCGAGATACTGGCAGTGATTAGATTCTAAAGATGTTTCATTCTATACAGTATGTTCAATCATACATTGTAAATATCATTTAAACAGGGAGGTGTAATGTACTGAAAGAACAGTATTACGGTATAAATTTAATTTCCACAGCTAGGCTTCAGGAAATATTTCCACCCATCACAGAACAACACTTTGGCTTTATTATAGTGTAAAAAAAACATTGAAATATCAGTAATGGATTTAATTTCACATGTGCAGACCGATTAAATGCTAATCAATCTTAGCATTTATAAATGTAACCTTAAAGACCAACAAAGAGAAACGTTACAAATTACCAGCTATGTATAGAAATAATCTAAGTAACGTTGGATACAAGCAGGGATGACTTAGGTTAACATCTATAAACAATTAAAGAAACTGTTGTGAAATCGTTATTTCAACAATTGTAAACAGTTGAAGTATAGCATTATAGTAATATTCCTCATAATAAAGACTTCAAAGCTGTTACTACAAAAGCATGAGCCTAGCCTAACAGCTATGTATAAAAAATAATATAATTGATTGTAAACAGTAGGAGCAAATGTAAATTTAATATATTAATACACAACTTTTATAGAAATACACCATGGATCTGTTATTTGTATTGATGATTTTTAGGAATACATAATGAAAGTTTCTGTTTACAAACAACAAAAAGTTAAATATACATATTTTACATCACTCTATTAAACTGTTTATATCTAAAACTTTTACAACAGTGTACATGTTGAGAAACTAAGTATGGCTTCTTAAATTAACTGTAACTTCTATAGTTCCGTTTATGGTTTAAATTTGAGGCTGTGTTTTGTCGGAGCATTTTCTTAGAGGATAACCAACTATTAACGGTAAGGTGATTGATATCTGTTCAACAATGAGTGGATAAATACGTACTGAAGCCTCAGAGAGAACCAGCTTACCAGCAAAATGGTCAGCCAAACCTTTCAACATAGCCAATTAAAGGAAAAGTCCGGTCATATTTTAATATTTAAACTTATGAAAGTACTTTAAATATGAAAGAATTACATACTGTTCAATAAATGATCAGTGTTTTTAATTAAGAGTAATTTTAATCTGAATGTGCTTTACTGGAGGCATCCATGTTTGTCAAAGAACACTACTGCCACCTACTGGTTTGTGACGTCACGGTGCGGTATCGGCTGTTGATCAAGTCCCAGTGCTGTATCTGGTGTTTGTCACAACGCGCTATTATCCAAGTCATCTTGAAAACATTCTTCTTCCAAATGTTGGCTACATATTACGGGTTTTTTTCTCTGGCCAGAAGTTCCCTCATCAAGTTGGCAATCCAACGACAAACCCGTGGTGGATCATGAATCGGAAAGGGGAGATTTTTTATTCACTTTTACGCGATGTATTCCAGCATCCAGCTGCCATGCACGTGGGCATTGTCAGTTTCACTATAGCTCTGGTGAATTTCAATGGTGAAGTCCTCTGGAAATCTTCAATAATTGTTGTTGATTGCAGATGTGTCTAGTAGTTCCCATTGATTTTGCTTGTAAAGCGGGAGAATGGCGCTAGGATTACCGCACTGTGACGTCACTGCTGGAAGATGGCAGGAGGGAGGGGTTACTATATCTTGGTAAAAATGGCTGCTCCCGGAATCAGTCTTTGTGTTGAAAATAATTTTTTTAATGTTTTTGACTGATTAACGCTAAATTAATTCAATCACGGCGAACATATTAGTTTTAGGTATAGATAATGATCCTTTGATTATTCATAGTGACTTGACTTTTCCTTTAATAGTACTGGTTTTGTAACTTCTAAAAATTCACTAGTCTAGCTCAGCAAAGAAATAAATACCCTAATTTAACAAGCAAATCATTATCCTCCTTTAGCACATTACAATTAGCCTAGCTTAGCACTGCAACAAGTTTAACACAAAAACTTCAACAGATTCATATGGAAATGGCTAGCTAGGCTAATCACAGAAAGCATTACCATAGTTAGCACAGAAGCCGTTAGCCAAACTGAGATGGTGTAAAGTTAGATTTCTTATAAAAAGTTAATCACAGTTTTTGCCACCAGTTTCACCCATTTCACTCAATTAATCTTAAACCAGAGCGGGCCACAAAGCAAACATCAGTCACATATTAAAGTCTGGAAAAGAGGGCTGCATTTAGAGGAGCCTTAAAATTAGGACCAGCTTCATTACTTAGTTAGCCTTTGAAGGATGCAGCCCCTGATTTTAGACACAGCTAATTAACCTAAACTTAGCACAGAAACCATTTACCTAGCTTAGCACAGAAATATTTAGCCCAGTTTAACACACCACATGTTAGCCTTTATTAGCACACCAAGCACCAGCGTTGCGTAGCACAGTAACTATCACCCTGTTTTAGCTCAAAGTCTGAGATTAGTGTCTTTTCTTCAGCAGAAGTTTGACATCTGTTTGGTCTCCATCAGTTTTCCTTCCTGAGCATGTTAACAATCTTAGTGAACTGCAGCCTGATGGCGATGTCCAGAGGAGTTTCTCCATCCTGAAAAACAGCAGGTCATCAGATTAACTTTAAATTCTGTAACAGTGTTTATTATCCATTTAATTAACAATTATGAGTTCAGATAAGAAAGGAAAGTCTTTCCATTCCACCTGTTAACAGATTCCTATAGGACCTAGGGTAATCTTTTTAACCTCTCCAGGCAGATGTTGCAGATTTGCAACAGCTAAATGTCACTTAGCTAATTACTCCACATCCATATTTTAAGAGCTTTTGTTTTCTAAGCACCAATTTCATGTGAGCATCACTACCAATTTTTTATTATTTTGAAATCAACACTACATAAAATGAACCATGAAAGTGTATAGATATGACACATGCTAATTAGTAGATTTTATCTCCTCTGGGTTTTTCACCAGAGGCATCTTGATTTCAATGTTGTGGATTCGCAATGTGTGCCCAGACAGGTACCAATTAATGCTACATGCTTTATCTAGTAGTTTGCCTATATTTTGAGCAACATTTTAACAGAAATGGCCTTCTAAAGAGGTTTTGAGATGTTGGTGGAGAAAAAGTTTGAGAAAAAGTTGTCTCTAATTTTGTGAGAGAAATTTTTGTCTTCGAATTTTGTTTTGTTCATTTTTTGTTTGTGTCATTCAAATAAAGTTAACGTTCATATCAGATTCAGTCGTCAGTGTTAATTTACCACTCCGGGCCACTGTTGCAAATGTGCAACATCCCAGAATTCATTGCATGTGAAGTTCTCTCTCAAAAAAACAGTCTGAATTGTATATAACTACCCCATATGATCATTTTCTCCAAATATCAGATTTTTCCTGCAACTACAACTTAATCTGAGCCTGAGAGGGTTAACAGGTGGACCTAGATCAAAATGTTAAGATTTATATCGTTGATATCAGATTGAGATCATGTCATAAATTCACAAGTCACAATAAGTCTTTATAGACAACTTTGACAGCCATCTGTAAACTCTATACTAAACTCTATAAAGCTTGGAACTCAACGCTAATTCTGACATTTGAAGTGAGAAAGCTTCCTGAATGGAAAGCAAAACGTCTTCAAACTTGGAAACAAAGTCCAGTGGATTGTTTTTTAAAACTTTTTTGGAACAGTGGGGGCCGCCATTTTGATTGGTTTCTGCTATAAAGACTTCTTGTAGCGTCTTGCAGGGAGCGCATGGGGGAATTTGGAGAGGATATAGATGCAACTCTGTATTAAATAGAGTCATAAAAGAGTAATGTCCTCTCATGTTCACCAGGTTGCCCTGTTTGTGAATCAGCACACAGACTGTGTCTCTGTTTAAGTAGCCAGGTTGTTCATGACGTTCCTGTTTACCAGAATGGACTCAACAGATTACAAAACTGTTATTTTTGCTGTAACATTATTCCATTTCATCTTGTTTTTCTCCCAGCTAGATTTTTTTTAGAAGACTGAGGAACTGATAAACCATCATCTTTTATAAGACATAAATGAGAATGTGGGCATTTTAGAGGCGACTTTATCTAATATAAAGTAAAACTGACTTATTCAGCTGGATATGATTGGCAATAAAAGCTGAGTGGCAAATGAAAACAGGAAATGCCCTTAAAACTTGTCTATAGTGAAGACTGGAAGTCGAGTAAGGGGAGGTAGTGATTAGGGCATAGAGCCTGGAATCCTTAGGTTGTGAGTTCAAAGCCCACTCCCACAGACTGCCACTCTGGGTCTCTAAGCAAGGTGCTTAATCCCTGATTGCTCCCCGGGCACCCCACAATGGCAGCCCACTGCTACCCAAGGGGATGGGTTAAATGCAGAGGTAAATTTCTCCAATGTGAGATTAATAAAGTTCAATTATTATAATTATTAAAAAGTTAGGATGAGGTCACAAGTCATTAGTACACAGGAAAACCATCAGGTAAACATCCATCTCTGGTTTATATCCAATCATTCCTGCTTTTCATGCTGTCAAACAGTCAGAGCGGGCTAATTAGTCCCTGTTAGAAACCTCAAACACTGGTTTAGCTGATTAGAAACTTTTATTCTATCCTGAAATGATTTACCCCTTACACTTTCCCAATTGTCTACAAACCCCAGTCAGTCATGGTAGATTCTGTTCCTACCAAGCTAGGCTATGTTCCTCCTATCAAAGAGGAATTCAGGGACTCAGTGTCACTTTAAACTCGTCCAGTATTGACTGTTGGCAGGCAGTGACTTGATGCAACCTCTTCTGAGAAAACTTTTAAACTGTTGATATGAACTGAGCTTTACTCTGTTTGATAACTAGGATGACACTGCCAGGCGTGTAACTCTCTGTAATCTCCAATCTGTGTTTCTTTTTTGATTGAATTGATGCAACAAAAACAAACTCCAAAATTGAATTCCAATCCTAAACCATCTGATTTATCAGAACCAGCCTAGAGTTCATCCTGCTACAGTGTTCAGGAATGACAACATGTCTGCTTATGATGCGTTCGTGGACCCACTTTATTCCTGACGTCCGTTTTGGCATTCCGCTTCAACAGCAGAGGAACTAGTCGGTGGCTTTTCCTCTGACAGACGTAATGCAGCGCCGTGTTGCCTTTCTGCAGCAGAAACAAACACAGATGTCAGGGCTTAATCAGAGATAGTCTGGATCTGAATATTTACCGTCTCTGCTCCTATTTGGAGCTTCACTCACATAGTCAATGGCGTCAATATTGACATTGCTGCTCAGCACGGCCTCCATCAGCTCCACACTCTTCCTCTGCTTCTGCAGCTGGAACATGAACACAAACATCTCCAATCAAAGCTCATAGCTACAAAGTTTTTTATCAAAATCACTATTTTTTTCTAAGATCCACAGAATGTCTAGAAAGGTGCAGAATAAAGGTATTCATTTTATTGGAAATAAAAGGAATTAAAATTGCTACGTCTCACAGAAGCATAATAAACCCCTGATCCTTTAAGCTTCTCCAGAGTAAAGTCTTTCAGTTTTCCTAAGGACATTTAGCTGAGACTGAGAGAGAACAGGTCCGACTGAATGATGAACCAAAGGGTAAAAAGCTCTTCAGTCTGTGTTGATCCTCTTTCCAAAGTCCCTAAAAGAGCATACTTTAAATCAGCTGCTGTTCTTAAACCCTGAGGATACCTGTCATATAAACACTGCAATGGTGGACAGTAGCGCTGGACGATTTCACCAAAAATCCAAATGTCAATTTTTTTCAAAAAAAAATTGTGATTTTATTTAGATTTTCCTTGTATTCACTACATGCATGTCGATGCGTCCTTTCAGTTATTGTTTTTATAACTTTGAAAGTTTGCTCTATTGTGCAGGGTTTGGAATTTCGAAAAAACTAAAATAAAAATACACAGAAATAATTTTTTCTTGCTAGTGAAAAAAAAAAAAGTGTATACATTTTTAAATTAACTTATAAAATCAATACTTGCAGAAGTTAATCTAGATTTGTTACCGTACGTTGACCGGATCTCTGAATTGCTCAGCAGACAGAAAATAACAATTTTTTAAAATTCCGTTCAAACAAAAAGTTCTACTTTAACCTAAATGTCTCTCTGGTGTTTTTTAATTTTTTTATTTGGTAAAGGTACACGTGGTTAGAAGAGTAGCCTGACATTTTAGTCAGCTAATTCAGCTACTTTATAGTTATTTTTTTAACATAAAGGTTAGTTTTAAGTTTTAAATTGTGTTAAAGGTTCAATAATTGTGTTAAATCGTTCAAATTGGTCTATAGGCAATTTCCTGATTCACACATTTTATCAAACACCTGAACTGACTGTTTGTTTTCTTTTTTCTGTCTTAATGTTGGCAGTGGGCTTTATGCTGCCCTGCAAGGCTTTAAACCTGGGTTTGAATGGAGACTAAGCCATTCTAAAGCACATATCAAGGAGCTCATTCTGAGCCTGGATCCAGATTTATTGTTGATTCTGTTCATGGTGGAGAATCCTGCTTCACAGCAACAGGTTGAGCCAAACATCCTCTAAATGTTCAGGGTCATCTTTGAGCACCATTTCACTTTTCTTTCACCAGTTCACCACAGTTCTTCCAGCAGTCCACACTTTCTCTGCTCTCTTTTTCTCATCATCTTCTCCTTCTTTCCCATCGCCCTGCTTGCCACAGGTTTGTCTGCTGTGTCTAAAAGTAGCAGCAGCAGCAACCCAGACTGACAGCTCATTGGATAATCTGGATCATGTGCAGCCTGGTGACGCTCTGGAGGGCTTTACCGTATTTACAGGAGAAGAGGCGCAAATGAAGTAATCCAGTTGGGTCCAGATTAGCCTGCAGGTGGGTCTGGAACCGGTCCGCAGTTCGTTAATCCTAGTGGGTTAGAGCAGTGCTCTTGTGCTCTGAGAAAGCTGAAAGCACCCGGTTTAATTCCCACAGTCTGCGGAACCCCCCACTGCTCCCAGGGCGCTGCGCAATGGCAGCCCCCTGCTCCCCAAGGGGAAGGGTTAAATGTAGAGAACGAGATTCCTCATTGTGGGAAAATAAAGGGATTTACATTACGTTAAGTTACATTATCTCTGACAAGTTTGGGTTTAAATCTGAACAAACCATAGAAATATATATTTTTGTTTTAGATAAACATTTTAAATTTGTTCAACAGACACAGTTTCTACAATTTCTGTTTCATTGTTGCCTGAAAAGCCTTTGGTCATGTAAATGATTTAAGTTATTTTATAATAGGTGATTGTGGAGCACCTAAAAGCAAAGCAGAAGAGTGAAACTGAAAATGGAACATACTGATGGAATGAGGACGCTGAGATAAACCAGTTCAGCTCAGTTATTTACTCCTGTTTGTTTCCTGTTTTCACTGTATGTACTGATGTATGTGGAGATTAGATTCTATAGATACCATCATCCCATCAGCTCAGTTTAAGTCTAGAACGAGGAACCGTTGGGAGTTTTAGTCTTTTTATAAATTTGTCCGTTTTTTTTTTATCCTTGTTTTTTATTCATCTGCTAATTTCCTGATTATTTTTGTTTATATGGAACAACTCGCTTCTTTAATAAAGAGGTAATAAATGGCAACTGCAATAAACTTATGCAAATAAAGCAAATTTCTTTTCAATGGATCAGGTAATTAGATGTAACCCACCTCTGCTATTGATGCATTATGTATCAATAACATCACAATATTAAAAGCTAACTTTATAGCTTCTTATAAAAAATAACAGTGGGATTCCAGGTCTAACCTCAGCATTATTTGAAGATGGTGGTATATAAATGCACACCTTAACTACATTTTAATATTATTTCTCATCTAAATCATACCCCAAGTTTTACTTTTATTAATTCATGTGTTCTTTAGTTCTTGTTCCCAGGAGGCACCAAGCATGCCCAGTAAATGAACAGCACATGGTGATCTGATGCAGAGCGTAATCATTTCTGCTCAATGGTTGCACAAAGTGGCCACTTAAGCAGCTAATCTGCACAGTGACAGCAACTGCTTGATTCTCTTTTAGCTTGTGTCTAAGGTCGGTCTGTGACTTTGTTCAACCTTCCTAAAGAAGAGCCTACTGAACCTAAGTAAAGTGATACCATGCTGCAGCAGCTCTAAGGCGATGCCATGAAACTGGCAAACACCATCACAGAGAAGATAAACATCTTTGTTTCTGGGTTGGAAAAATAATGAATAAAGAATGAATAAATACTCTGTTCTGCTAAGGAAAATACTTCAACATATATACCTATGCTTACGTTTTTACTTTGACAGGCTTAAAAATAGCAGGATGGTACCTTTGAACAATTGTAGTCATACATAAATTAAACCAAAGAATAAATTATCTATTATAAATTAATTAATTAAATTCAATAATTATTATTATATTGATTACAATATAAAATCAGTGGACGGCCCTAAAATGGAGCTACATTCCACAATCCAGCCCTGGTAGCCATCCTTAATCCAGGAAATATGTTGGCTGAGATCAAACACACCGTCTCTGGTAAAAAAAAAAAAGTTATAAAAAACAAGAAATAAACTGTAGAATTTAGCATAAAAGTAAGGAGCAGGGGCGCCATATTGGGGGGAAAAGTTAGGATGATTTTAGGAGCCCTTTACTAATGGGGGTCCCAAAAGAAGAAAAGATTTGTCCCACAGTAAAATAAATAATCTTCATGTTCTCCCTCATTTTTCAGCAGTAAACAGTCAAACAAAGCATGAATGTATTGAATATATTACCATCATCACGAGACCAGGTAACAGGAAAACACCCTAGTTATCAGGGGGTTAGCATCAGCTAAACACTAGTAGATTATTAGCAGGATATTTACATTAAATAACTGTCTTTGTCCCTCCTTCATCATGTAATCAGATGATTCGTCAGCAGCATGGATTAAAATCTGTGTCAATATTAAAACGGCTTAGTTAGATACATCAATGTCTTCCATGGGGCACCAAATTCCTGGCGGTGCACCTGGTAAGGAGTTCTCAATAAATTTATATTCAAAGCTTATCTAATGCCTCTTGAGTTTTATTTGCATAAAAAAATAAAATTTCATGTTCGCTATCCTGAACATAAAGGATTTTGGCTGTAATTGTGAAGAGTAAAACCAACAGTGCGTTTAGTATGGGGCCAAAATGGTAGCTTTAATATTTGCAAATGTGTGTGGAGAGTTGTGTGTCTGTATCTCGATTTGTGTGTGTGCAGTGGGATTTGAAAATGTGTAAATAAATCTGTAAATGTGTGAGGAGATTTGTGTGTCTGTACAACAATCTGCAAATGTGTAAAACTACTTGTGTGTAATCCGTTTTGCAAATGTGTAAAAAATCCACAAATCTGTATTCAGATCTGCAAATGTGTACTGAGACTTGCAAATGTGTAGATCAATCTGTAAGCACACACAGAGACACTTGTGTCTGAAGTATTTTCGCTTCAAGACCCAGAAATACAGACAAATCATTGGTTACAAGTCAAGCGGTTTTTCGGTTGGCTCTCTTTACACACGTGATTTTTGCTACTCTTCTGCCGGGTGAGATGCATAAATGCGTAGAAGGATTTGTATGTGTATTTTCGCGATTTGTAACCCCTTGCGCAGGCTCGCAGGCTCACATGCTGCATTTGCAAATATTAAAGCTACCATTTTGGCCCCATAGTTTAGCAGGGCAGGTTCAGGTTTTACCAGGAGGAAGTATCCCAGCAGCAGGATAGGCATCAGGATGGAAATCATCAGGTAGTCCAGAAGAGACAAAGTCCTCTTAGACACGTAGTGAAGACACGTCCTCTGTTTCTGAGGGACACAGTTAGAGTTAGAGCAGTGGAAAAACCTCAATCATGCTGAGATCATTGTGAGGCAGTACCTTGTTGGTCAGCTGGGTATTGGCCTTATTGTTCAGCAGATACTTCGTCACATTCAGGTTACCATTACGACAAGCAGCAATGAGCGGCGTGTCCCCAGTGTGTTGGTCCTGAACGTCTATCAGGGTCGGGTTCTCCTTCAGGATCCCATAGAGCTGTTGGAGGTCTCCGCCATAGGCCGCCTGACAGGCCGGCTGGAGGAGTTGGAGGTAAGAGAGAAAGAAATTCAGTATGATGTGAAGCCGACATTCCTTTGAAGACAGTTTATAAAAACCTAACACTGAGGAAAAGAAGTAATTGAACACCCAGATATTTTTAAAGTTCTCCCACTTAGAAATCATGGAGGGGTCGGAAATTGTCATCGTAGGTGCATGTCCACTGTGAGAGACTTAATCTAAAAGAATATCCAAAACTCCCAATATATGATTTTTTGATAATTTATTTCTGTGATACTGGTGCGAATAAGTATTTGAAAACCTGTCTATCAGCTACAATTCTGACCCTGAAAGACCTGTTAGTCTGCCTTCTAAATCTCCACCTCCACTCCATTTATTATCCTAAATTAGATACACCTGTTTGAGGTCGTTAGCTGCATGAAGTCACATGTCCACCCCATACAACCAGTAAGAATCCAACCACTAACATGGCCAAGACCAAAGAGCTCTCTAAAGACACTAAAGACAAAATTGTCGAACTCCCCAAGTCTAGAAAGGGCTACGGGGAAATTGTCAAGCAGCTTGGTGGGTCCACTGTTGGAGCAATCATAAACATGACTGTCAGTCTCTCTTGGACTGGAGCTTCATGCAAGATCTCACCTGGTGGCGTCTCAATGATCCTAAGAAAGATGAGAAATCAGCCCAGAACTACAGGGGAGGAGCTGGTCAATGACCTGGAAAGAGCAAGGACCACCGTTTCCATGGTTACTGTTGGTAATACACTAAGACCTCATGGTTTGAAATCCTGCATGAGACAGAAGGTTCCGCTGCTTAAACTGCCACATGTCAAGGTTTTGCAATGCAGTTTGCTAATCACCATTTGGACGATCCAGAGGAGTCATGACCGAAAATCATGAGGTCAGATGAGACCAAAATAGAACTTTTTGGTTATAATTCCACTAACTGTGTTTGAAGGAAGAAGAATGATGAGTATCATCCCAAGAACAGCATCCCTACTGTAAAGCATGGGGGTGGTAGCATCATGCTTTGGGGGGGGTTTTTTCCACATGGGACAGGACGACTGCACTGTATTAAGAAGAAGATGACCGCGGCCATGTATTGCAAGATTTTAGGGAAAAACCTCCTTCCCTCAGGTAGAGCATTGAAGATGGGTTGAGGCTGAGTCTTCCAGCATCACAGTGATCCAAAGCACACAGCCAGGATAACCAAGGAGTGGCTCTGGAAGAAGCAGATCAATGTTCTGGCGTGGCCTAGCCAGTCTCTAAACCTAAACCCAATAGAGAATCTTTGGAGGGAGGGAGCTCTAACTCAGTGTTTCTCAGTGACAGCCCAGAAACCTGACTGACGTAGAGAAGATCTGTGAGGAGGAATGGGCCAAAATCCCTCCTGCAGTGTGTGCAAACCTGGTGTAAAACTACAGGAAACTTTTAACCTTCGTAATTGCAAACAAAGGCTACTGAACCAAATATTGACATTGATTTTCTTAGGTGTTCAAATACTTATTTGCATTTTTTTTTTAAGATTATGCCTCTCACAGTCGACATGGATCTGTGATAACATTTCAGACCCATCCATGATTTCTAAGTGGAAGAAGTTGCACAATAGCAGGGTGTTCAAATACGTATTTTCCTCACAGTATAGTCTAAATATAATCTGCAGCTGACGGACAGCTGATCTGACCAATTAGGGAGATTTTTATTACATTTATACAGTGTAATAACAAATTTATAGGTAACCTGTAATGGAGCAGAATCTTACTATTCAACGTCTGTTAACTCAAGTCAGATTAAATGTGTAAACATCAAATCAGACAAGTTAAGAGTCAACACTGGATCAAACCGGGTCATTCAGTCTTAGATATGGATCTAATCATGACAAAGGGATCAAGTCTGGCTCAATAAAGAAAACAGTCAACTTCTATTATCTGGACTTCATTTAGTCTACATTGTCGTTATGTAGTTGGAAATGGTTTAATCCATGATGGTAAATGTATCCTCTCACACCCGCTGTGTCACCATTACATTTTATTCTTTACACAAATATGTTTAAAAGCAGAAATGGTAAAACATTGATACCAAAGGCTTTATGATTTAGTCAGTGATGGTGGCTCAGAGGCTGGGAGTTGGGTTTACAGCACCTCCACTCCATCTGTCTCTGCTTCTGTTTGGAGAATGACTGATAGTCGTGGGAGGAGGAGGGACAGAGGGAAGCTTAAGACATGAAGGTATCGATTGGTTCTTTCCCTTCAGACTGAATGGCGAGGACTGGTCAGGGTTTTTACAGGCCTTTAGCTCTCTTTTCTGAATAAATGATGTATTGATTATGATCAGGATGGAAGAAAAGTTTCAACCAAAAGCAGGGCCAAACACCTGGAGCTCTAACTGCAGGTTTCTGCAGACAAATCCTGCAAGAAAATGACTTCCCCTCTTTAATCGGCTGCCTGAGGACTACCAATGGAAACTAGCAATATCTCACTCTGGTACAAGACATCTCTTCTTTTGAATGTATTTTGTATGCCGTCACTGTTAAAACAACAAACTAACTAGACTTAGACTCAACTTTCTTTCTTCCTTGGAATTACTCCTTCAGGGAAATTCTGGTTCCAGTAGCTTATATAGATTACAAAGAGTTAAAACAAGACGCCAAAACAGATAAAAATAAGACATACAATAAAAAAAGAGTGTACATTGTACAAAAATATAAAAATATCTGCAGAGTGGAGAGTTAAGGGAAGAATACATAGTAGCTGACTTGGATTAATACACCTGCACTGCAGAAATGTAACTAGAACTAATAAAATAACTAATGGAAAAATCCCAACAAGTAAAATGAAAACTGCACCAGACTGTCTTGTAGAGACACGAGGTAGAAGGGTGTGAGAAATTGAGCCAGATTCCTCTGGTTGATGTACTGTTTGGAGAAAAATGGCCACCCTGATAAATACATCTTAAGACAATAACTAAACCTTGTTCATCTTAAGCCCCACAGAGGAGAGCAACTTAGAAGTCTAGTATCTTCTATAATAAAGGCAGAAGAAATGATGACAGAAGTCAACCTAAAAGCTCCTTCTGAATGTAAATAGAAGAAATCCCATTGAGCTCACCACCTTCTGGATATTTTATGCAACAGCAGAACATGCAATACCACCAAATAGATCGAACAGAGAATGAAGCTGAACTGCAGCTGGAACTGGAACAGCTCAGTGTTCTATTGACTCTAGTTCTTCCTTTTTCCTAATGCAGTCTGGTGGGTGAATATAAAGAAAGGGGAGTAAAAACCTAAAACTTTTAACATTTAAAAACACTTAATTTATACCATTCAATCAATATAACCCATTACTGAAAGTGTCAGCTAAAAACGTTAAATGAGGATCTTGTTATATTGTAAATCTCCATCATCTGAAACAGTACATACAATCTTTGTTAAAACCGCACAACTGAATAAAATCCTCCATATTCTGTGTGGCTCTGTGGAAGTAAATCAGGATTACCAAAGCTTGTTATTCCTCTTTAGATCATAGGAAACATTTTAACTACATATTTGTGTTTTCATATAAATTTGTCGTTATTTTTTGCGGATCTTGTAGGTTTATATTTAAGAAGCCCTGACCTAAAACCCTCTTTCTCTTTTTCCCCGTCTTATAAAAATATTAAATCAAGCAGAAAAAACAGCCTTAGTCACAAGGAGAACGGCTTACAGCCTGATTCAGGCACCAGGCGAGTGAATGAATCAGAAGCACAAATCCTTTCTCAGCATCAGTGAATCTTGATTCAGTCACAGGGTGGATTAGGTAAGGCTTGGATTGAGCCTCAGGTGAGTGAGGGAATCACTGGATTCCAGTCATGAACAGTGATGGGAGTAACGCCGTTACCATTTTTGTTAACGAGGTAATCTAACTAGATACTTTGACTGTAACTATAACGCAGTTACTATTGCCGACCCCCGTTACTGCACGTTACTCAGGTCGCACAATGAACCTTTTTTCATGATAGGACTCGTGCGCGCCTTGTCAAGAGAGAGGGGAGGAGGAGAATGGCTGATGAATAGTGAGATTCGTCTGTCAGTTGGGTAGGTGGGTGTTTCTGCTGGTGGGTGTTAACGTACAGCACACACAGAGAGATAGAGAGTGAGGAGGACTCCAGCAGCAAAACAGCGTTTTCCAGATGGAAATACCGGTGTTACGTAGAGCTGTGTTTCCCCATCAGATACGGTTTCCCCTGCATCTCCGCACAGCGCAGGCGGCACAATTCACCGCGCAAGCGACAGGAAACGCACATGCTCGCTAAAGGCGCGTAACAGTCGCCCTGTGCTCGCGCCACAGGAGAACTATGGAGAGCGTGAAAGATCAAATGATAGCCTATATGGAGAAATCGGTAGGGAGGGAGGGATGGATGGATGGATGTTACAGTATCTATAACAACCCAAACACACAGGATTTCAGAATTAAATACTCCCAGTTATTAATTTCATTCACTCACCAGATCTGAACTCTGTTAAAAAACTTCACACCCATGAGTAGAGGTAATGCAGCCTGATGATATTTACACCACATCAGATACTGTTCCCCCCATGTTAAGCTGGGGGAACGCTATCTGACGTGGTTTATAGGCCCGTCAGACAGCGTTCCCCCCTGATGTCATTTACGTTGAGTTGCAATAAATGCTAAACTCTCTGCAGGTTCTTGTCTTTGTCGTCCGCTCTATTCAGCTGGCTTTGGAAACACACGGCGAGAAGGTGGGGGCCGGGTGGTGAGGGTTAAGCAAAAGTAATGCAATAGTTACTTTTACTAGTAACTAGTTACT